GGCCTCCCCTGGGCACCCCTGGCTTCCCCTGGGCACCCCTGGCCTCCCCTGGGCACCCCTGGCTTCCCCTGGGCACCCCTGGCTTCCCCTGGGCACCCCTGGCTTCCCCTGGGCACCCCTGGCTTCCCCTGGGCACCCCTGGCCTTCCCTGGGCACCCCATGGGACATACTGTTGTTATGATTTTAGTTATTATGAGCCAATTTTCCCTAATGATTGTCTTACCTCCATTAAGTCGCCTTATTATTCATGATATTTGTAATTTCCAAATCACACAAACACAATAATTTTGCCTACAATATTTGTACACAAAACATTGCATCGACAAGTTCCCTTCAAGAACAAGTTAAAGTCGCGATCTCTGGAGTGTTACAGTGGTGATGTGAAGGATGCTTTACCGGCAGCCATTACTAGCTGTCAACACGGCAAGGTTTCTCTATTTAGCTGCCTCCCCTGGAAACACAAACCGTAACTGTCTCTATTTTCCGCTTGTTACAACTTGTAATAAAGTTGTTACATCTTGGCTTAACGTGTTTATAACGCATTAGAACGTTGTTACAACGTGCTATATTGGTTGTTATAACTGGTTAGCAGGTGTTAAAACTTGTTCGAACGTTGTACCAACGTCGTAGTTTCGGTGTGTGTTTGGCGGGTCCTTACCTTCCAGTTCCTTACAGCGGTCTTGGCTGTGAACATTAACCATTCGCGGTCTTAGTGTGGAGACTGCTGTAAGCCCTAAGAGGGTTATTTGGGACATGAAATATCTATTGTTTTCCCATGATTTACCAACAAAATAATATCTGCTGCCCACACAGTTAAGACTCTTAACCGTGTTTTTTATACTAATAAGCCTCAATACACAGTCTCAAAAATGGCTTTATTTTGTAAACTTTTTCATGCCATTTGCAAAAGCTTAGCATGTTATGTATTTGTTCAGTGACTCCATATTTGGAATCTTTATTAATTAATTATTTGCTTAATTAATTAATTATAAACTTGTTAATTCGTTTTCAGAATATTTTATATATATTTTCCCTCCTAATTTTTAACTATTCCTTACTGTGATATGAAAAGCGGGCTATCGCAAATGTAAATATTATTTACGAATTTGGTGTATAATTTAGCCATGAGTAGGTTAGGTGTTTTACTTATTGTCTATTATCTGTCTTTATGGTGGGTGGATGAAGCACCTACCCAGCCTTTATGGTAGGTGGGTGAAGCACCCACCCAGCCTTTATGGTAGGTGGGTGAAGCTCCCACCCAGCCTTTATGGTAGGTGGGTGAAGCTCCCACCCAGCCTTTATGGTGGGTGGGTGAAGCACCCACCCAGCCTTTATGGTAGGTGGGTGAAGCACCCACCCAGCCTTTATGGTAGGTGGGTGAAGCTCCCACCCAGCCTTTATGGTGGGTGGGTGAAGCACCCACCCAGCCTTTATGGTAGGTGGGTGAAGCACCCACCCAGCCTTTATGGTGGGTGGGTGAAGCACCCACCCAGCCTTTATGGTGGGTGGATGAAGCACCCACCCAGCCTTTATGGTAGGTGGGTGAAGCACCCACCCAGCCTTTATGGTGGGTGGGTGAAGCACCCACCCAGCCTTTATGGTGGGTGGGTGAAGCACCCACCCAGCCTTTATGGTGGGTGGGCATCTTCATGCTGCCGCCCACTCCACACACTCAGTCACCCACACATGATCATGTTGTGCGGTTAAGTCTACGACAGGTTAGGTTACGTGTTTTAATTATGTTGGCAATTATTTGCAGTACGTGGGAAAGAATGCGTCTCTGGGGTCGAGCGCTGGATAGAATGGACTTGGTCTAAGGACGGGTTGTGTACCAGTGTTTATGAGAAGGCAGCCCGTCCTCGCATACTCCTGGATTAGCCGAGGCGGAGGATATAAACCCAAGGATACAAGTGCCCAGCCCGTCCTGGATTAACGATCCAAGCTCGTTAATCCAGCCGCCAAACCCTCTGTTCATGAGTGAAAAGCGGTTTATACACGACTCACAACTGATGACGTCCGAACACTACCGGAACAAGTGCTTCACTGACGTCCTCTGTTCGAACCACAATTCTATAAGTGCTTCACCACGTACTTCAAACACAAATAATCGCCACCAGAATCTAAACATCTAACTTAACCTACGCCTTACTCTTATGTATAATAATATTAATATTATTATACATACGAGAACAAAGCAATTTTTAATACACAGTATGTTAAAATTGGTGAATGCGTCTGAGGAGGACGCCGCTGCTTTAACCAGCCTAGTGTGAGGACGGGTCGGGGCTGAACGCGCGGAACTTACGTAGTGAGCGATGCTAACCAATGGTGTTATTGTCAAGAATGTGAGTCACCAGCACTTTGAGCCAACGGATGTTACTTCTTGCTTCTTCCACTTGTCACACTCGACATGTGGGGAGGAGGTGAGACGTGATCACGGAGTCTACGATCATCTCACCACTTTGGTTTGTCCACAAGGCAACTTTCCTGTCGTGAAGGTGGTGCTCGTGCCCATCACCCCACACATGCACCAGCCCCTCCTCCTGTTGTGGTAGTACTTATAGTACCGATCACCACCATAGTACATATACCCACCTACAACACAATTACAAAGTACAAATCGGCACTATTGAGTTGAACAAACCGGAAAACTATTTTCTACTTATGTTGCGAAGACAAATTAAGCTAACCTAACCTTCATAGGCTTATTACACGATATCTCACGCCAAATATAGTACGTATGTGTGCTATACTAGGCCTAGGAATATTTAGGTTTGTGTTTTAGCTTAATTTTTTCCAACTCTATAAAGTGAATAGTACAAAGTTCAACTATGTAATTGCTTAGAAGAGCAATCTTTGTGCTATGGTGCACAGTGACCAGAACTACTGTGTACACAGGAGGATGAGTTAGACTCACTCACAGTAACTACAGTCTACTGACTCCCACCCCCTGCACCTCTGACCTTGCCAGTTCATAGTCCTTACTGAATATGAAAATGAAACTTCAATGACAATTTAAAGAGTCATGGTGGGGGTAATCCCGCCCCTGAGAGTCATGGTGGGGGTAATCCCGCCCCTGAGAGTCATGGTGGGGGTAATCCCGCCCCTGAGAGTCATGGTGGGGGTAATCCCGCCCCAGAGAGTCATGGTGGGGGTAATCCCGCCCCTGAGAGTCATGGTGGGGGTAATCCCGCCCCTGAGAGTCATGGTGGGGGTAATCCCGCCCCTGAGTCATGGTGGGGGTAATCCCGCCCCTGAGAGTCATGGTGGGGGTAATCCCGCACCCAGAGAGTCATGGTGGGGGTAATCCCGCCCCAGAGAGTCATGGTGGGGGTAATCCCGCCCCTGAGAGTAATGGTGGGGGTAATCCCGCCCCTGAGAGTCATGGTGGGGGTAATCCCGCCCCTGAGAGTCATGGTGGGGGTAATCCCGCCCCTGAGAGTCATGGTGGGGGTAATCCCGCCCCTGAGGGTCATGGTGGGGGTAATCCCGCCCCTGAGAGTCATGGTGGGGGGTAATCCCGCCCCTGAGAGTCATGGTGGGGGTAATCCCGCACCCAGAGAGTCATGGTGGGGGTAATCCCGCCCCAGAGAGTCATGGTGGGGGTAATCCCGCCCCTGAGAGTCATGGTGGGGGGTAATCCCGCCCCCAGAGAGTCATGGTGGGGGTAATCCCGCCCCTGAGAGTCATGGTGGGGGTAATCCCGCACCCAGAGAGTCATGGTGGGGGTAATCCCGCCCCAGAGTCATGGTGGGGGTAATCCCGCCCCTGAGAGTCATGGTGGGGGTAATCCCGCCCCTGAGAGTCATGGTGGGGGTAATCCCGCCCCTGAGAGTCATGGTGGGGGGTAATCCCGCCCCCAGAGAGTCATGGTGGGGGTAATCCCGCCCCTGAGAGTCATGGTGGGGGTAATCCCGCACCCAGAGAGTCATGGTGGGGGTAATCCCGCCCCAGAGTCATGGTAGGGGTAATCCCGCCCCTGAGAGTCATGGTGGGGGTAATCCCGCCCCAGAGAGTCATGGTGGGGGTAATCCCGCCCCAGAGAGTCATGGTGGTCGTAATCCCGCCCCAGAGAGTCATGGTGGGGGTAATCCCGCCCCAGAGAGTCATGGTGGGGGTAATCCCGCCCCAGAGAGTCATGGTGGTCGTAATCCCGCCCCAGAGAGTCATGGTGGGGGTAATCCCGCCCCAGAGAGTCATGGTGGGGGTAATCCCGCCCCAGAGAGTCATGGTGGGGGTAATCCCGCCCCTGAGAGTCATGGTGGGGGTAATCCCGCCCCAGAGAGTCATGGTGGGGGTAATCCCGCCCCAGAGAGTCATGGTGGGGGTAATCCCGCCCCAGGAGGAGACTAGTGGGGCGGGCTTAGTCCCATGACCATGACCATTGACTCCGTGAAGCCGGGTTCATTACCCAAGAGCCGGCCGCCCCGCCCCGCCGTCTAATTACCTGAGGTGTGTGTAATCACACACATAACGGGATTACGGTAACGAAGACGCTCCAGCGGGAGACTGCGGTAGAGGCGAGAGTCGCAGACGCTCGGGGCAAGATAGTGCGGCCAGGGAGGCGGAGTGAATCACCTTATATCATCGTCAGTGTTGCCAGCGCCGGCGGGGAGAAGGATTATATCCTCCGCCTCCGCCAACATGATGAGGTGTACAAGTTATACAAGATGGAGACAGTGTATGGTGTATTGAAGATGGTATGAGAAGCAGAGTATGACAAGCAGGGGGATAATATACTGAAGATGGTATGACTAGAGGAGTATGACAAGCAGGGGGATGATATACTGAAGATGGTATGACTAGCGGAGTATGATATACTGAAGAAGGTATGACTAGCGGAGTATGACAGGCAGGGGGATGATATACTCATACTGAAGATGGTATGACTAGCGGAGTATGACAAGGAGGGGGATGATATACTCATACTGAAGAGGGTATGACAAGCAGGGGGATGATATACTGAAGATGGTATAAGAAGCAGTGTATGATGTACTCACCTCCCAGAGGTTGACCATACAGAAGTCGTCAGGTATGTCCCTCTCCCTGACGGGGACGCCCACCACGGGGCCCAGCTGGGTGTAGCGGGTGATGGCCGCCCGCGCCACCACCACCTCCACCTGCCGCCCGGGCACCTGCGTCACGCCCACCACGCCCACGTCGCTGTCGCTGTCGACGGAGCTGTCGTGGGGCGGCGGGAGGACGCGTCGCTCTAGAGCGAGGCCGGGCGGGAGGGAGGCGCGGGCGTAGCAGGTGGGCGTGCCGGGGCGCTGCGGGTCTCTCCACGTCTCACCCTCCCGCTCGTCCTCCCGCCCCGCGCCCCCGCCCCCGGAGAGGTTGACGGGGGAGTCGCGGTGGGGCGGGGCCACGATCACCCCGTTCTGCTGCGGGTGGTCGTGCGGGTGTGCGGGCGGGGAGCACGTGTCGGGAAGCACGTGGGTGGGGCGGGAGAAGGGGCACGTGCCGGCCACGTGGCGTGCGCCGCACTCCCCGCACAGCTTGATGCGTATGGCTACACGCCTGTCCTCCTCCTCGCCCCCCCGCGCCCCCGCCACGCCCTCAGCCACGCCCACATCCTGCTCCTTCACCTTGGGCGGCAGCTGGTCGCCGCCCGCCGCCTGCCGCAGCTCCGGCGCCGCAACCTCCCGCGCCTCGTACAGCCGCCTGCGGGAGAGGAAACAAACGTTGTTTAGTCACAAGTTATTGATCAGGTGGAGGTGAGCAGCGCCACCTGTTGGCGCCACGCCCTCACCTGCCGCCGCCCCTCACCTGCCACCCCCCTCACCTGCCGCCCCCCCCTCACCTGCCGCCGCCCCTCACCTGCCACCCCCCTCACCTGCCGCCCCCCCTCACCTGCCGCCGCCCCTCACCTGCCACCCCCCTCACCTGCCGCCGCCCCTCACCTGCCGCCGCCCCTCACCTGCCGCCCCCCCTCACCTGCCGCCCCCCCCTCACCTGCCACCCCCCCTCACCTGCCGCCCCCCTCACCTGCCGCCGCCCCCCTCACCTGCCGCCCCCCTCACCTGCCGCCGCCCCTCACCTGCCGCCCCCTCACCTGGCGCCCCCTCACCTGCCACCCCCCTCACCTGCCGCCCCCCTCACCTGCCGCCCCCCTCATCTGCCGCCGCCCCTCACCTGCCGCCCCCCTCACCTGCCGCCCCCCTCACCTACCGCCCCCCTCACCTGCCGCCCCCCTCACCTGCCCCCCCCCCCCTCACCTGTCGCCCCCTTCACCTGCCAGGTGGAGCACCAGGTGTGAGGCACCAGGTGTGGAGCACCAGGTGTGGAGCACCAGGTGTGGAGCACCAGGTGTGAGGCACCAGATGTGGAGCACCAGACGTGAGGCACCAGGTGTGAGGCACCACGTGCCTCTCCGTGAGCTGACGCGTAGTTAGGTCGTTATAACCACAAACGGTTTACCTTAGATAAAGCTAATAGTGAGTCGTGAGTGTGAGTGAACACGCGGCCTTCACTCACTGGCTACAACACCTCCACGACCGTTGTTTGGCTGCTATCATGAGAGAGTTCCTCTCATTCACCACACACTGTAGCGTGTGTGTGGGTGTGTGTGTCACTCTTCATTCACAGCAAGGAGTGAATCACCGCTGTGAATGAGTGTGTCCACCACTCTCATTCACAACGTACTCTAGTGTATCACTCAATAACACTGCAGCCTAGGAATCACCTCGTTATATGTACACATATATGTACACATATATATACACATATACACACATATATATCCCACACATTTCAGTCACATGTGAAGGTTCACTTTTACCCGGCCATTTTTAGCAGCAATAAATCAATATGTTGCAACCGGAAGTTAACAGCGTTGAAGATCTTGCCATTGATGTGTGTGTGTGTGTGGGGGGGGGGGGGGGGGGGTGTTCTGACCTTTCCGGCGGCCTTGCTGGCCGCCCTCCAAGAGCAACAGGTGCTCGCCAGGTGACTCACAGGTCTTAAAGGTGTAATTACCGAGGCTTAAAGTCTTCACTGCCGACCACAATATCTCTCTTGGTTTGTCTTGATCTTACTGACCCCCGTGTGTGCTTGGTGGTGTACTGACCCCCGTGTGTCTGTGCTTGGTGGTGTACTGACCCCCGTGTGTGTGCTTGGTGGTGTACTGACCCCCGTGTGTGTGTGCTTGGTGGTGTACTGACCCCAGTGTGTGTGCTTGGTGGTGTACTGACCCGTGTGTGTGTGTGTGCTTGGTGGTGTACTGACCCCAGTGTGTGCTTGGTGGTGTACTGACCCCAGTGTGTGCTCGGTGGTGTACTGACCCCAGTGTGCGCGCTTGGTGGTGTACTGACCCCAGTGTGTGCTCGGTGGTGTACTGACCCCAGTGTGTGTTTGGTGGTGTACTGACCCCAGTGTGTGCTTGGTGGTGTACTGACCCCAGTGTGTGCTCGGTGGTGTACTGACCCCAGTGTGTGCGCTTGGTGGTGTACTGACCCCCGTGTGTGTGTGTGCTTGGTGGTGTACTGACCCCCGTGTGTGTGTGTGCTTGGTGGTGTACTGACCCGTGTGTGTGTGCTTGGTGGTGTACTGACCCCCGTGTGTGTGTGCTTGGTGGTGTACTGACCCCCGTGTGTGTGTGCTTGGTGGTGTACTGACCCGTGTGTGTGTGTGCTTGGTGGTGTACTGACCCGTGTGTGTGTGCTTGGTGGTGTACTGACCCCCGTGTGTGTGTGCTTGGTGGTGTACTGACCCCCGTGTGTGTGTGCTTGGTGGTGTACTGACCCCCGTGTGTGTGTGCTTGGTGGTGTACTGACCCCCGTGTGTGTGTGCTTGGTGGTGTACTGACCCCCGTGTGTGTGTGCTTGGTGGTGTACTGACCCCCGTGTGTGTGTGCTTGGTGGTGTACTGACCCGTGTGTGTGTGTGCTTGGTGGTGTACTGACCCGTGTGTGTGTGCTTGGTGGTGTACTGACCCCCGTGTGTGTGTGTTTGGTGGTGTTCTGACCCCCGTGTGTGCTTGGTGGTGTACTGACCCCCGTGTGTGTGTGCTTGGTGGTGTACTGACCCCCGTGTGTGTGCGCTTGGTGGTGTACTGACCCCCGTGTGTGTGCTTGGTGGTGTACTGACCCCCGTGTGTGTGTGCTTGGTGGTGTACTGACCCGAGTGTGTGTGTGCTTGGTGGTGTACTGACCCCCGTGTGTGTGTGCTTGGTGGTGTACTGACCCCAGTGTGTGTGTGCTTGGTGGTGTACTGACCCGTGTGTGCTTGGTGGTGTACTGACCCGTGTGTGTGTGTGTGCTTGGTGGTGTACTGACCCCCGTGTGTGTGCTTGGTGGTGTACTGACCCCCGTGTGTGTGTGCTTGGTGGTGTACTGACCCCAGTGTGTGTGTGCTTGGTGGTGTACTGACCCCAGTGTGTGTGTGCTTGGTGGTGTACTGACCCGTGTGTGTGTGTGCTTGGTGGTGTACTGACCCCCGTGTGTGTGCTTGGTGGTGTACTGACCCCCGTGTGTGTGTGCTTGGTGGTGTACTGACCCCCGTGTGTGTGCTTGGTGGTGTACTGACCCGTGTGTGTGTGTGCTTGGTGGTGTACTGACCCCAGTGTGTGTGTGTGCTTGGTGGTGTACTGACCCCCGTGTGTGTGTGTGCTTGGTGGTGTACTGACCAGTGTGTGTGTGTGCTTGGTGGTGTACTGACCCCCGTGTGTGTGTGCTTGGTGGTGTACTGACCCCCGTGTGTGTGTGCTTGGTGGTGTACTGACCCGTGTGTGTGTGTGTGCTTGGTGGTGTACTGACCCGTGTGTGTGTGTGTGCTTGGTGGTGTACTGACCCGTGTGTGCTTGGTGGTGTACTGACCCGAGTGTGTGTGTGTGCTTGGTGGTGTACTGACCCGTGTGTGTGTGTGTGCTTGGTGGTGTACTGACCCGTGTGTGTGTGCTTGGTGGTGTACTGACCCCCGTGTGTGTGTGCTTGGTGGTGTACTGACCCGTGTGTGTGTGCTTGGTGGTGTACTGACCCCCGTGTGTGTGTGCTTGGTGGTGTACTGACCCGTGTGTGTGTGTGCTTGGTGGTGTACTGACCCGTGTGTGTGTGTGCTTGGTGGTGTACTGACCCCCGTGTGTGTGTGCTTGGTGGTGTACTGACCCCCGTGTGTGTGTGCTTGGTGGTGTACTGACCCGTGTGTGTGTGCTTGGTGGTGTACTGACCCCCGTGTGTGTGTGCTTGGTGGTGTACTGACCCCCGTGTGTGTGTGCTTGGTGGTGTACTGACCCGTGTGTGTGTGTGCTTGGTGGTGTACTGACCCGTGTGTGTGTGCTTGGTGGTGTACTGACCCGTGTGTGTGTGTGCTTGGTGGTGTACTGACCCCGTGTGTGTGTGCTTGGTGGTGTACTGACCCCCGTGTGTGTGTGTGCTTGGTGGTGTACTGACCCCCGTGTGTGTGTGTGCTTGGTGGTGTACTGACCGCAGTGTGTGTGTGTGCTTGGTGGTGTACTGACCCGTGTGTGTGTGCTTGGTGGTGTACTGACCCGTGTGTGTGTGTGCTTGGTGGTGTACGTGTGTGTGTGTGCTTGGTGGTGTACTGACCAGTGTGTGTGTGTGCTTGGTGGTGTACTGACCAGTGTGTGTGTGTGCTTGGTGGTGTACTGACCCGTGTGTGCTTGGTGGTGTACTGACCCGTGTGTGCTTGGTGGTGTACTGACCCGTGTGTGTGTGTGCTTGGTGGTGTACTGACCAGTGTGTGTGTGTGCTTGGTGGTGTACTGACCCGTGTGTGCTTGGTGGTGTGTACTGACCCGTGTGTGTGTGTGTGCTTGGTGGTGTACTGTGTGTGCTTGTGGTGTACTGACCCGTGTGTGTGTGTGTGCTTGGTGGTGTACTTGGTGGTGTGTACTGACCCGTGTGTGTGTGCTTGGTGGTGTGTGTGTGCTTGGTGGTGTACTGACCCGTGTGTGTGTGCTTGGTGGTGTACTGACCCGTGTGTGCTTGGTGGTGTACTGACCCCCGTGTGTGTGTGTGCTTGGTGGTGTACTGACCAGTGTGTGTGTGTGCTTGGTGGTGTACTGACCCCCGTGTGTGTGTGTGTGCTTGGTGGTGTACTGACCCGTGTGTGTGCTTGGTGGTGTACTGACCCCCGTGTGTGTGTGCTTGGTGGTGTACTGACCCCCGTGTGTGTGTGTGCTTGGTGGTGTACTGACCCCCGTGTGTGTGTGCTTGGTGGTGTACTGACCCCCGTGTGTGTGCTTGGTGGTGTACTGGTGCTGACCCCCGTGTGTGTGTGTGCTTGGTGGTGTACTGACCCCCGTGTGTGTGTGTGCTTGGTGGTGTACTGACCCCCGTGTGTGTGTGTGCTTGGTGGTGTACTGACCCGTGTGTGTGTGTGGTTGGTGGTGTACTGACCCCCGTGTGTGTGTGTGCTTGGTGGTGTACTGACCCCCGTGTGTGTGTGTGCTTGGTGGTGTACTGACCCCCGTGTGTGTGTGTGCTTGGTGGTGTACTGACCCCCGTGTGTGTGTGCTTGGTGGTGTACTGACCCCCGTGTGTGTGTGTGCTTGGTGGTGTACTGACCCCCGTGTGTGTGTGTGCTTGGTGGTGTACTGACCCCCGTGTGTGTGTGCTTGGTGGTGTACTGACCCCCGTGTGTGTGCTTGGTGGTGTACTGACCCCCGTGTGTGTGTGTGCTTGGTGGTGTACTGACCCCCGTGTGT